CATATCCCTTCAAATTCATCTACCAACTTTTTGCAACCTTTTGGAATATCCCATCTGTATCATCAACAAAGTGCAATTGTGGCAGCTCTCATTTTGCATCAAAGTCATAATCTTTTAATCTAACACCTCTCCCAAACACCCTAGCATTCACTTCTTTTGCAATCCCCATCTACAAATGTGTTAAAGAACTATGGTGACTTTACACATCCATGTCTATGGCCTACTTTAACTGGAATTGTACAGAATTGGGATATTGCTTATTTTATATGAAGTGTTACTAGGTTTAGTGTGTATGGCATCTTGTGCTGAGCTACTTACTGAAGGCTCTGCTGAGAGCTTTGTATCAAGTGATGCTACGCTCAGAGTGTGAAATATCTTGTACAAAGTTTCTTGGGAGAGCTTTGTGCCAAGCTGTTTTAGGTATGGTGTGGTGTGGAGCTTCTTGCACCTGGCTTCTTAGTGAGAGCTCTGCTGAAAGAAAAGTTATATGGATGCTTGAAAAATTTATCATGTTACAAAGGGAGTACAGTAAACCCTTGACTACTAGGGAAAAGCAGGTAGCTGGTAATGGCACTTGTGATTATTTTCCCGTGATAGTAATGCTAAGAAACACTTCTTTAATCAACGAATTTTGTCCATTATTTGAATTGACCTAGTGGATTTTGTCTTATATTTCAGAAGTCTAGTAAATCGAGGGTTTACTGTAATTATACTGGTGCTCTTACACTTTAAAAAATATTTCCCTATTAAGCAGCAGGATTTGGTGGGAAGCAATATTATTTATCTATTTTCTACAAGTACAATGAACCCTTTTATCTATAAAGTGACAGTACATCTGCTCTATCTGTATTACTAAATGTGTTGAACATGTTGGTGATTCATAATAGGGAGTGAATAAGTGTTTAAATAAGAAAGTTGAAATCTAGGTGGAGTACAGTATGCATCTTCATGGCCATCATGACACCAGCTGACATCACAAACAATGCACATTCTAGTTTTCCTAAACCTTGCTAGGTGAGACAAAGTAGTGTTTATGTGTCTAATAAAGTGAGGGAAGATGTATGGCCAGTCTCCTGCCAGCTGCTACCTCTCTTATATTATCAACATACCTTTGATATACCTTTGATTAGTTCTGAGAGTTTTTCTACTCCCAGAGTCTGACCTTAGAGGAATGCTGTTTCCCTGCTGGCTCTGGCTTTGGTTTAGCTAAAGTGTGTTTTATTAATGTTTCTTCCAGTAAACATTATCACTCCTCATGAATAGATCATACAAAGACAGTTCATATATGTATTGAAAAATTAGATAGAAATCTGAGATCTCACAATATTGCTGAGAGTCCATATCTCATGGATACTACCTCCCACAACATTTTTTATAATTATATTACTGGAGAAGAGAGGAATGTAGAGGAGAGAGAGAGAGATTTTGGGAGATGTTAAGTGAATGTACAGGAGCCTTTGAACCAAATGAGAGAGTAATTGTGGTAGGGGACCTGAATGCTAAAGTAGGAGAAACTTTTAGAGAGGGTGTGGTAGGTAAGTTTGGGGTGCCAGGTGTAAATGATAATGGGAGCCCTTTGATTGAACTTTGTATAGAAAGGGGTTTAGTTATAGGTAATTATGTATTGGTAGATAAAAGACTGTTGAGTAGACTTCAGGATGTACATGTTTATAGAGGGGCCACAGATATATCAGATCACTTTCTAGTTGTAGCTACACTGAGAGTAAAAGGTAGATGGGATACAAGGAGAATAGAAGCATCAGGGAAGAGAGAGGTGAAGGTTTATAAACTAAAAGAGGAGGCAGTTAGGGTAAGATATAAACAGCTATTGGAGGATAGATGGGCTAATGAGAGCATAGGCAATGGGGTCAAAGAGGTATGGGGTAGGTTTAAAAATGTAGTGTTAGAGTGTTCAGCAGAAGTTTGTGGTTACAGGAAAGTGGGTGCGGGAGGGAAGAGGAGCGATTGGTGGAATGATGATGTAAAGAGAGTAGTAAGGGAGAAAAAGTTAGCATATGAGAAGTTTTTTACAAAGTAGAAGTGATTGATGCAAGGAGGGAAGAGTATATGGAGAAAAAGAGAGAGGTTAAGAGAGTGGTGAAGCAATGTAAAAAGAGAGCAAATGAGAGAGTGAGTGAGATGTTATCAACAAATTTTGTTGAAAATAAGAAAAAGTTTTGGAGTGAGGTTAACAAGTTAAGGAAGCCTAGAAAACAAATGGATTTGTCAGTTAAAAATAGGAGAGGAGAGTTATTAAATGGAGAGTTAGAGGTATTGGGAAGATGGAGGGAATATTTTGAGGAATTGTTAAATGTCGATGAAGATAGGGAAGCTGTGATTTCGTGTATAGGGCAAGGAGGAATAACATCTTGTAGGAGTAAGGAAGAGCCAGTTGTGAGTGTGGGGGAAGTTCGTGAGGCAGTAGGTAAAATGAAAGGGGGTAAGGCAGCCGGGATTGATGGGATAAAGATAGAAATGTTAAAAGCAGGTGGGGGATATAGTTTTGGAGTGGTTGGTGCAATTATTTAATAAATGTATGGAAGAGGGTAAGGTACCTAGGGATTGGCAGAGAGCATGCATAGTTCCTTTGTATAAAGGCAAAGGGGACAAAAGAGAGTGCAAAAATTATAGGGGGATAAGTCTGTTGAGTATACCTGGTAAAGTGTATGGTAGAGTTATTATTGAAAGAATTAAGAGTAAAACGGAGAATAGGATAGCAGATGAACAAGGAGGCTTTAGGAAAGGTAGGGGGTGTGTGGACCAGGTGTTTACAGTGAAACACATAAGTGAACAGTATTTAGATAAGGCTAAAGAGGTCTTTGTGGCATTTATGGATTTGGAAAAGGCGTATGACAGGTGGATAGGGGGGCAATGTGGCAGATGTTGCAGGTGTATGGTTGTAGGAGGTAGGTTACTGAAAGCAGTGAAGAGTTTTTACGAGGATAGTGAGGCTCAAGTTAGAGTATGTAGGAAAGAGGGTATTATTTCCCAGTAAAAGTAGGCCTTAGACAAGGATGTGTGATGTCACCGTGGTTGTTTAATATATTTATAGATGGGGTTGTAAGAGAAGTAAATGCGAGGGTCTTGGCAAGAGGCGTGGAGTTAAAAGATAAAGAATCACACATAAAGTGGGAGTTGTCACAGTTGCTCTTTGCTGATGACACTGTGCTCTTGGGAGATTCTGAAGAGAAGTTGCAGAGATTGGTGGATGAATTTGGTAGGGTGTGCAAAAGAAGAAAATTAAAAGTGAATACAGGAAAGAGTAAGGTTATGAGGATAACAAAAAGATTAGGTGATGAAAGATTGGATATCAGATTGGAGGGAGAGAGTATGGAGGAGGTGAATGTATTCAGATATTTGGGAGTGGACGTGTCAGCGGATGGGACTATGAAAGATAAGGTGAATCATAGAATTGATGAGGGGAAAAGGGTGAGTTGTGCACTTAGGAGTCTGTGGAGACAAAGAACTTTGTCCTTGGAGGCAAAGAGGGGAATGTATGAGAGTATAGTTTTACCAACGCTATTATATGGGTATGAAGCATGGGTGATGAATATTGCAGCGAGGAGAAGGCTGGAGGCAGTGGAGATGTCATGTCTGAGGGCAATGTGTGGTGTGAATATAATGCAGAGAATTCGTAATTTGGAAGTTAGGAGGAAGTGCAGGATTACCAAAACTGTTGTCCAGAGGGCTGAGGAAGGGTTGTTGAGGTGGTTTGGACATGTAGAGAGAATGGAGCAAAACAGAGTGACTTCAAGAGTGTATCAGTCTGTAGTGAAAGGAAGGCGGGGTAGGGGTCGGCCTAGGAAAGGTTGGAGGGGGGGTAAAGGAGGTTTTGTGTGCAAGGGGCTTGGACTTTCAGCAGGCATGCATGAGCGTGTTTGATAGGAGTGAATGGAGACAAATGGTTTTTAATACTTGACGTGCTGTTGGAGTGTGAGCAAAGTAACATTTATGAAGGGGTTCAGGGAAACCGGCAGGCCGGACTTGAGTCCTGGAGATGGGAAGTACAGTGCCTGCACTCTGAAGGAGGGGTGTTAATGTTGCAGTTTAAAAACTGTAGTGTAAAGCACCCTTCTGGCAAGACAGTGATGGAGTGAATGATGGTGAAAATTTTTCTTTTTCGGGCCACCCTGCCTTGGTGGGAATCGGCCAGTGTGATAATAATAATAATAATACTTTATTATTCTTGTTTATTACTTTTTCCATCACATTTATCTTTAACATATATTTGGTATGGGTGTGCTGAGCTTTTATGTTTGGTATTTGTGTGGTGAGTTTGTATATAATTGATATTGGTGTGGTGAGTTTGTATGTTTGGTATGGGTGTGGTGAGTTCCTGTATGTTTGGCATGGGTGTGGTGAGTTCCTGTATGTTTGGCATGGGTGTGGTGAGTTCTGGTGAGTTCCTCTATGTTTAATATGGGTATGGTGAGCTTTTTCAGTGTTTAGAATGAGTATGGTGAGTTTCTGTATGTGTGATATAATTTGGTAAGGAAATATGGCTTATATTTTTACATTGTTTACTTATACTGAGTATGTGTCAGTTGATAAACCTCGTTTCATCCAACTCGGCCCAGAGGACTCACATAAACCCTCCTCACACTCTTCAGATGTCTTAATTAATGACTAACAGAATGTAAGGTAAGATAAACTGTTGTTATTAGTACTTAGTAAAATATTAAAAGAAAAGTTGTTTGCAAATTTGTTATTGTGTGGAATGTAATACTATTTTCCCCATATGTTCTTCACATCACATGCAGTTGATTTTCATAGTGATGATTTTCAAGAACATAATGTACATTATGAGTGGGTTTATTGTACTTTATATATTCAGTTCGCATTTATTTTCATAAAATTTTACATGTTGTGCTGAATAGAAAACATAAATAGTATTAGTAGTTCCCACCAAATTTACTTTGCTGGTTTTTTTCCTTCAGCCTTATAATGGTGCTGTTCTTTTCTGTCTTAAATCCAACCATGCCATTCCCTCTCTTCTAAAGGTGTTTAGCCGAGAATACTCTCATAAGGATTACTGCTTGGCACACCTCTTCACCGACATTAAGTTTGAAGGGGGTATCCTGGGTCTAGCTTATGTAGGATCCCCCCGCAGAAATTCCGTTGGGGGGATCTGCACACCAGGTAGGTTTCCAGGAAGTATTGTGAATTATCTTGATAAACATTATATTATTTGTAATTTTTTAATGATCACATGGTAAGCATAACAGCTGACGATAACTTAAATGACAAGGTTTTTTTTTCTACACTAAATCATTAATCTTTAGTTTGTGCTTAACTCCCTTTTTTAATGCCCTTGGGATTTTCTTGCTAGCTTATTTATCATACAGTACAGTACTTAATTAGATATTAAAATTATTAGAGCAGCTTTGCTTTATGTACTTACTTTATGGGTATATGTACTGGATATGATTTTGTTTTTTACTGTATGTGGCATAATAGTGAACATTTATTTTAATGTTACAATAATTTTAACATTGGCTTGAGGTGAAAAAAAATAATCAACACTCATTTGAATTCTTGATTAAAGTTTATATAACATTTGTGCATGGGGAAAAGGTACTATGATATGGCTATATCTGCTGTTTTTATTTATTTTTTAGATACAATGCTGTGCTGTAAATTATGGTTTCTTTTTACTTACTTTTTAAAGTTTGTAGCACTGGTTAATTTTTATTTTGTAGACTGATTCTTTTTACAGCAGATATCTGCCAACAAATACCTCTGGAAAATGGAGAATGTATTTTCTTTCATGGGCACCCTTGGGGCATTGCTGGTAAATGGTCTATGTGATAATTTTTTTTAAGGCTTACCAAAACTAGAAAATGGGAAATGGATTTGATTATTTAGAGACTAAGGTATCATTTATTATTTGCAAATATACTATAATATGTGTAAATTTTAAGTTGCCAGTTTATTAAAAATATTATTAATTTTCAGAATATTTCAAGAATGGTCACACACTCTACCTGAATTCAGGCCTCAGCTCCTCCAGAAATCACTATGGGCAGCGGGTCATCACACGAGAAGCCGATCTAGTCACTGCTCATGAGTTTGGTCATAATTGGGGTTCAGAGCATGACCCTGATAGGCCTGAGTGCAGCCCAAGTGCTAGCCAAGGTGGTTCCTATCTCATGTACACCTACTCTGTTTCAGGATATGATATCAACAACAAGGTACTGTATTTTTATTCATACATTCTCTTTTTTGAAAATACTGATTTTTTTTTTTTTAGTATGTGTCAAACATTAGTATCCTTCATTAGTTTTTAATCAGTTTTCCCAGAATTTCTTGCATTAACTTAGAAAATAGTTATAGCAGACATTATGAAATATCATTAATTACAGAAAATGCCACTTTTTTCCTAGTAACAATCACACAATAGTAATACATTGTCAGTTTGTGGCAGGTGCGCGTGATGAATTATGAGAGTTCACTTAATGAAACATTAAACATATCAATGCACATGAAATGCATTTGTATAAATATTTGTTAAATAAGTTTTCAAATTCTAATTTTATCTACATGCAAGAAAATCTTAAATTCCAGAAGTTTATAATCTATTTTCTGAATTTGAACTTAAATACATTCTTTATATTTCAGAGGTTTTCTCCCTGCAGTCTTCGGGCAATTCGTGCAGTATTAGTAGCGAAATCTTCTCGATGCTTCACTGAGCCAGAAGAATCTTATTGTGGGAACCAGAGAGTAGAAGGCCAGGAAGAATGTGATGCTGGACTGGTGGGCCAAGATGACATTGACATGTGCTGTGATAAACACTGCAAGCTACGACCACAAGCCACCTGTAGCGATCGCAATTCTCCATGCTGCCAGAGCTGTCAGTTCATGAGCCATGGAGTGAAATGTCGTGAGAAGCAGCCTGCCACTTGTGACAATGAATCCAGATGCCTAGGTACAAAAGCTGAGTGCCCAAAAGCTAAACCCATGGAAGATGGCACACCATGCATTGAGAAAGGACAATGTCTTCAGGGCAACTGTCTCCCATACTGTGAGACACAAGATATGCAAAGCTGCATGTGTGACACAAGTGAGAAAATATTAATGTTTTGTTAAGTACTGTACAGTGTTTTCACTCTGAGGTGAAGGTGGGGATGGTGCAGTTCAGTGGGTCTTTTGAATTGTGATGTCTGCATATTTTGGTAAAATAAGTATTTAGTGAATAATGGTGCATGTATTTCTTTTTTCTCAGATCACCATACCTTGGTGGGAGACAGCTGGTATGGTAAAAGTTTTTAATATTAATGTATGTATTTTTTTTTTTTTTTTCAACAAGTTGGCTGTCTCCCAGTGAGGCAGGGTGACCCAAAAAGAAAGAAAATCCCCAAAAAGAAAATACTTTCATCATCATTCAACACATTCACCTCACTCATACATAATCACTGTTTTTGCAGAGGTGCCCAGATACAACAGTTTAGAAGCATATATATATATATATAAGAAGAGCAGAATATATGGAGAGTAAAAGAAAGGTAAAGAGAGTGGTGAGAGAGTGCAAAAGGAGAGCAGATGATAGAGTGGGAGAGGCACTGTCAAGAAATTTTAATGAAAATAAGAAAAAATTTTGGAGTGAGTTAAACAAGTTAAGAAAGCCAAGGGAAAATATGGATTTGTCAGTTAAAAACAGAGTAGGGGAGTTAGTAGATGGGGAGATGGAGGTATTAGGTAGATGGCGAGAATATTTTGAGGAACTTTTAAATGTTAAGGAAGAAACAGAGGCAGTAATTTCATGCACTGGTCAGGGAGGTATACCATCTTTTAGGAGTGAAGAAGAGCAGAATGTAAGTGTGGGGAGGTACGTGAGGCATTACGTAAAATGAAAGGGGGTTTAAAGCAGCTGGTACTGATGGGATCATGACAGAAATGTTAAAAGCAGGGGGGGATATAGTGTTGGAGTGGTTGGTACTTTTGTTCAATAAATGTATGAAAGAGGGGAAGGTACCTAGGGATTGGCGGAGAGCATGTATAGTCCCTTTATATAAAGGGAAAGGGGACAAAAGAGACTGTAAAAATTATAGAGGAATTAAGCTTACTGAGTATACCAGGAAAAGTGTACGGTAGGGTTATAATTGAAAGAATTAGAGGTAAGACAGAATGTAGGATTGCGGATGAGCAAGGAGGTTTCAGAGTGGGTAGGGGATGTGTAGATCAGTGTTTAACATTGAAGCATATATGTGAACAGTATTTAGATAAAGGTAGGGAAGTTTTTATGCATTTATGGATTTAGAAAAGGCATATGATAGAGTGGATAGAGGAGCAATGTGGCAGATGTTGCAAGTTATTATGAATAGGTGGGTAAGTTATTAAATGCTGTAAGAGTTTTTATGAAGATAGTGAGGCTAGGTTAGGGTGTGTAGAAGAGGAGGGAGTATTTCCCGGTAAAGTAGGTCTTAGACAGGGTGTGTAATGTCACCATGGTTGTTTATATATTTATAGATGGGGTTGTTAAGGAAGTAAAATGCTAGGGTGTTGGGAGAGGGGTTGGGATTAAATTATGGGGAATCAAATTCAAAATGGGAATTGACACAGTTATTTTTGCTGATGATACTGTGCTTATGGGAGATTCTAAAGAAAAATTGCCAAAGGTTAGTGGGATGAGTTTGGGATGTGTTGTAAGGTAGAAAGTTGAAAGTGAACATAGAAAAGAGTAAGGTGATGAGGGTGTCAATGATTAGATAAAGAAAAATTGGTATCAAATTGGGGAGGAGGAGTATGGAAGAAAGTGATGTTATTCAACTTGGGAGTTGACGTGTCGGCGGATGGATTTATGAAGGATGAGGTTAATCATAGAATTGATGAGGGAAAAAGGTGAGTGGTGCGTTGAGGTATATGTGGAGTCAAAAACGTTATCTATGGAGGCAAAGAAGGGAATGTATGAAAGTATAGTAGTACAACACTCTTATATGGGTGTGAAGCTTGGGTGGTAAATGCAGCAGCGAGAAGACGGTTGGAGGCAGTGGAGATGTCCTGTTTAAGGGCAATGTGTGGTGTAAATATATGCAGAAAATTCGGAGTGTGGAAATTAGGAGAAGGTGTGGAGTTATAAAAGTATTAGTCAGAGGGCCAGAAGAGGGGTTGTTGAGGTGGTTTGGTCATTTAGAGAGAATGGATCATAGTAGAATGACATGGAAGCATTAAAAATCTATAGGGGAAGGAAGGCGGGGTAGGGGTCGTCCTCGAAAGGGTTGGAGAGAGGGGGGTAAGGAGGTTTTGGGTAGGGGCTGGACTTCCAGCAAGCGTGCGTGAGCTGTTAGATAGGAGTGAATGGAGACGAATGGTACTTGGGACCTGACGATCTGTTGGAGTGTGAGCAGGGTAATATTTAGTGAAGGATTCAGGGAAACCGGTTATTTTCATATAGTCGGACTTGAGTCCTGGAAATGGGAAGTACAATGCCTGCACTTTAAAGGAGGGGTTTGGGATATTGGCAGTTTGGAGGGATATGTTGTGTATCTTTATATGTGTATGCTTCTAGACTGTTGTATTCTGAGCACCTCTGCAAAAACAGTGATAATGTGCGAGTGTGGTGAAAGTGTTGAATGATGATGAAAGTATTTTCTTTTTGGGGATTTTCTTTCTTTTTTGGGTCACCCTGCCTCGGTGGGAGACGGCCGACTTGTTGAAAAAAAAAAAAAAAAAAAAATAAAGATATATAACATATCCCTCCAAACTGCCAATATCCCAAACCCCTCCTTTAAAGTGCAGGCATTGTACTTCCCATTTCCAGTACTCGAGTCCGGCTATATAAAAATAACCAGTTTCCCTGAATCCCTTCACTAAATAATGTATGTATATACTGTATAAATTTGATACACTGAAGTTATTTGAATTTGAATTTTGTGAAAAGAGATGATATTGAAATTAATTTGGTGAATATGTAAAAGATTTACAAAGTAAAAGGAAGGCAAATGCAATAGGAATGTAATAACAGAAAATGAATGAGTGATAAGTGTAAATAAAAATGCAAGAATTTGTTACAGATATACATATTGGGAGTCGCTGATTTTAGCAACAAACTTTAGGAAGAAATCCCATAATGGTTGCAAATCTTCTGTTACTATATTTCTTCATGGCCAGTGATTGCTTCCATAATGTTTCAAACCTACCTGTAGTTGCAAGATTATTATTACAGTCAACACTAAGTGCTAAATCCACAAGGGGTATATAGAAAATGCAGTTACAGGAGTGATTATAGGCAAAGGAATATCTGTAATTGCAGGAACACATTGCAATGTTTTTTCCTTAATTTTTTGCCTCCTTTTTTTTTTGTTTCTGTTAGAGATTAAAGACCATTTTTTGTGGGTTAATTTAGCTATTAGTTTAATAAGTATACCTGTAAAATGAAGTGCACTGATGCCTGACAAGATATTTTAGAAAATATCTTTTATTTTTTCTGAAAATTGAGAGAATTTTTCAATTTATATAATTACCATTGTTATAAATTTGTAGAAGAGAGGGAGACTACTTCCCAGTAAAAGTAGGTCTTAGACAGGGATGTGTAATGTCACCATGGTTGTTTAATATATTTATAGATGGGGTTGTAAAAGAAGTAAATGCTAGGGTGTTCGGGAGAGGGGTGGGATTAAATTATGGGGAATCAAATTCAAAATGGGAATTAACACAGTTACTTTTTGCTGATGATACTGTGCTTATGGGAGATTCTAAAGAAAAATTGCAAAGGTTAGTGGATGAGTTTGGGAATGTGTGTAAAGGTAGAAAGTTGAAAGTGAACATAGAAAAGAGTAAAGTGATGAGGGTATCAAATGATTTAGGTAAAGAAAAATTGGATATCAAATTGGGGAGGAGGAGTATGGAAGAAGTGAATGTTTTCAGATATTTGGGAGTTGACGTGTCGGCGGATGGATTTATGAAGGATGAGGTTAATCATAGAATTGATGAGGGAAAAAAGGTGAGTGGTGCATTGAGGTATATGTGGAGTCAAAAAACATTATCTATGGAGGCAAAGAAGGGAATGTATGAAAGTATAGTAGTACCAACACTCTTATATGGGTGTGAAGCTTGGGTGGTAAATGCAGCAGCGAGGAGACGGTTGGAGGCAGTGGAGATGTCCTGTCTAAGGGCAATGTGTGGTGTAAATATTATGCAGAAAATTCGGAGTGTGGAAATTAGGAAAAGGTGTGGAGTTAATAAAAGTATTAGTCAGAGGGCAGAAGAGGGGTTGTTGAGGTGGTTTGGTCATTTAGAGAGAATGGATCAAAGTAGAATGACATGGAAAGCATATAAATCTATAGGGGAAGGAAGGTGAGGTAGGGGTCGTCCTCGAAAGGGTTGGAGAGAGGGGGTAAAGGAGGTTTTGTGGGCAAGGGGCTTGGACTTCCAGCAAGCGTGCGTGAGCGTGTTAGATAGGAGTGAATGGAGAGGAATGGTACTTGGGACCTGATGATCTGTTGGAGTGTGAGCATGGTAATATTTAGTGAAGGGATTCAGGGAAACCGGTTATTTTCATATAGTCGGACTTGAGTCCTGGAAATGGGAAGTACAATGCCTGCACTTTAAAGGAGGAGTTTGGGATATTGGCAGTTTGGAGGGATATGTTGTGTATCTTTATACGTATATGCTTCTAAACTGTTGTATTCTGAGCACCTCTGCAAAAACAGTGATTATGTGTGAGTGTGGTGAAAGTATTGAATGATGATGAAAGCATTTTCTTTTTGGGGATTTTCTTTCTTTTTTTGGGTCACCCTGCCTCGGTGGGAGACGGCCGACTTGTTGAAAAAAAAAAAAAAAAAAAAATTGGATACTCCAGTACATGCATTTAACTAAAAACTAAATTCAACGTTTCCAGTTGATGATGCTTGTAAGAGGTGCTGCCGCAAAACACTCAATGACACCTGTTTCCCTGTGATGCCTGTTGATATTCTTCCAGATGGAACTCCTTGCATTCATGGCTTTTGCAACAAGGTAACAAAACAGGCAGTGATTTGTATATATATTCATGATGATGTGAAATTTCATAATTTTAACACTTTTCAAAAGCAGTAGTTTAATATAAAGAATGTACGTATTTTAATATTTTCTGTAGATAAGTAGATAGCAACCACCCAGGGAGGTACTACCATCCTGCCAACTGAGTGTGAAATGGAAACTTGTAATTGTTTTACATGATGGTAGGATTGCTGGTGTCTTTTTTCTGTCTCATAAACACGCAAGATTTCAGGTACGTCTTGCTACTTATACTTACACTTAGGTCACACTACACTTGCATGTACAAGCATATATATATATACACACCCCTCTGAGTTTTCTTCAATTTTCTTACTAGTTCTTGTTTATTTCCTCTTATCTCCATGGGGAAGTGGAACAGAATTCTTCCTCTGTAAGCCATGCGTGTTGTAAGGGGCGACTAAAATGCCAGGAGCAGGAGGCTAGTAACCCTTTCTGCTGTATATGTTACTAAAGTTAAAAAGAGAAACGTTTGTTTTTCTTTTTTGGGCCACCCTGCTTTAATGGGATACGGCCGGTTTGTTGAAAGAAGAAGAATATACACATACATACACCCATCTGGGTTTTCTTCTATTTTTTAATAGTTCTTGTTTTTTATTTCCTCTTATCTCCATGGGGAAGTGGAAAAGAACTCTTCCTCTGTATCTCATGAGTGTCGTAAGAGGTGACTAACATGCCGAGAGGGGCTAGTAACCCCTTTTCCTGTATACATTGTTAAAATTAAATAGAAACTTTCATTTATTTTGGGAGGGGGGGCACCCTGCTTTGGTGGGATATGGCTGGTTTGTTGAAAGAAGAAGAGGAAAAACTTTCATTTTTCTTTTTACAGGGTGACTTAAAAAGAAAAACTTTTATTTTTCTTTTAAGGTTATCCTGCTTCAGTGGTAGACTGCCACTGCATTGAAAAAAAAATTTAATGTTTTGACATTGGTTGTTCGGTCATCTTTTAAGGTTATCCTGCTTCAGTGGTAGACTGCCACTGCATTGAAAAAAAAATTTAATGTTTTGACATTGGTTGTTCGGTCATATTTTTCATTATTAAAGATGGTTAACAGGTATTGATGTTTATGAATTCCTTTCATATATAAACAGCATATTTTTTCTTTTTCAGGGAAAGTGTGAGAAGACAGTACAAGATGTCGTGGAGCGCTTCTGGGATATAATTGAGGACATAAATATCAATACTGTTTTGATGTTTCTTCGTGATAACATTGTGGGAACAGTTATCATTGTTTCAGTCATAATTTGGGTACCAGCTTCATGTATATTTAGCTACGTTGATCGTCGCCGCCAGGATGAATATCGCAAGTATGTACGCTGGTATTACAGCAATGAGCTTGTCCATCCTACAGATAGTGTGCGCATTATTGACAGTAAACGGAGACGTGTACACGAGCCTGGTCACGTGCAGGAGGCATCTAACCGTATACTAGACTCGAGTGGACGTTCACATGAACAAGGGACAAGACCTCATGACACCAGAGACCCTCCTGAAGGAGCTGAGACACGTCAGACTTTAAACACTCCACAGTGTCCGCCTGTGTCTCAGCATTACACTAGCGCCATGTAGACTCAAAAATGCATTTTACTAACTGCACATAGTGTGTATTCTTAGAGTGTGTTCAGTTTTTAATAGTGCAGTATGTAATATCTTTAGTCATTTCCACCTACAATATAGAATTTTACATTCAGTAGAATCACAGGTCTCAATATCTTTGAAAATAGTTTGTCATTTATATTGATACAGAATGCAGTATGTGGAAAAGTTATTGGATGGGTTATGTTTAGTAATCTTTGCTTACTATTCTAATCATTAAAATCAAATTTTCTATAAATTATTAACCCTTTGACTGTTGCAACCCCAAATCCTGAAGTGTTTCCTGGTGTCGAAAAATTTGTTGGAAAAAAAAAAATTATTTATTCTTATGAAATGATAGAGAATCTTTCCCTGATAGTAATGACACCAAGAGTACGAAATTTGATCGAAAACTTACGGAATTACGCTCCCGCGAAGTTAGCGATCTTGGCGATATATACGCAGGAGTGAGGAAGAGCCAGTTGTGAGTGTGGGGGAAGTTTGTGAGGCAGTAGGTAAAATGAAAGGGGGTAAGGCAGCCGGGATTGATGGGATAAAGATAGAAATGTTAAAAGCAGGTGGGGATATAGTTTTGGAGTGGTTGGTGCAATTATTTAATAAATGTATGGAAGAGGGTAAGGTACCTAGGGATTGGCAGAGAGCATGCATAGTTCCTTTGTATAAAGGCAAAGGGGATAAAAGAGAGTGCAAAAATTATAGGGGGATAAGTCTGCTGAGTATACCTGGTAAAGTGTAAAGGTGAGTTATTTTGAAAGAATTAAGAGTAAGACGGAGGGAAAAGGATAGCAGATGAACAAGGAGGCTTTAGGAAAGGTAGGGGGTGTGTGGATCAGGTGTTTACAGTGAAACATATAAGTGAACAGTATTTAGATAAGGCTAAAGAGGTCTTTGTGGCATTTATGGATTTGGAAAAGGCGTTATGACAGGGTGGATAGGGGGGCAATGTGGCAGATGTTGCAAGTGTATGGTGTAGGAGGTAGGTTACTGAAAGCAGTGAAGAGTTTTTACGAGGATAGTGAGGCTCAAGTTAGAGTATGTAGGAAAGAGGGAAATTATTTCCCAGTAAAAGTAGGCCTTAGACAAGGATGTGTGATGTCACCGTGGTTGTTTAATATATTTATAGATGGGGTTGTAAGAGAAGTAAATGCGAGGGTCTTGACAAGAGGCGTGGAGTTAAAAGATAAAGAATCACACACAAAGTGGGAGTTGTCACAGCTGCTCTTTGCTGATGACACTGTGCTCTTGGGAGATTCTGAAGAGAAGTTGCAGAGATTGGTGGATGAATTTGGTAGGGTGTGCAAAAGAAGAAAAATAAGGTGAATACAGGAAAGAGTAAGGTTATGAGGATAAAAAGATTAGGTGATGAAAGATTGAATATCAGATTGGAGGGAGAGAGTATGGAGGAGGTGAATGTATTCAGATATTTGGGAGTGGACGTGTCAGCAGATGGGTCTATGAAAGATGAGGTGAATCATAGAATTGATGAGGGAAAAAAGAGTGAGTGGTGCACTTAGGAGTCTGTGGAGACAAAGAACTTTGTCCTTGGAGGCAAAGAGGGGAATGTATGAGAGTATAGTTTTACCAACGCTCTTATATGGGTGTGAAGCATGGGTGATGAATGTTGCAGCGAGGAGAAGGCTGGAGGCAGTGGAGATGTCATGTCTGAGGGCAATGTGTGGTGTGAATATAATGCAGAGAATTCGTAGTTTGGAAGTTAGGAGGAGGTGCGGGATTACCAAAACTGTTGTCCAGAGGGCTGAGGAAGGGTTGTTGAGGTGGTTCGGACATGTAGAGAGAATGGAGCGAAACAGAATGACTTCAAGAGTGTATCAGTCTGTAGTGGAAGGAAGGCGGGGTAGGGGTCGGCCTAGGAAAGGTTGGAGAGAGGGGTAAAGGAGGTTTTGTGTGCGAGGGGCTTGGACTTCCAGCAGGTATGCATGAGCGTGTTTGATAGGAGTGAATGGAGACAAATGGTTTTTAATACTTGACGTGCTGTTGGAGTGTGAGCAAAGTAACATTTATGAAGGGGTTCAGGGAAACCGGCAGGCCGGACTTGAGTCCTGGAGATGGGAAGTACAGTGCCTGCACTCTGAAGGAGGGGTGTTAATGTTGCAGTTTAAAAACTGTAGTGTAAAGCACCCTTCTGGCAAGACAGTGATGGAGTGAATGATGGTGAAAGTTTTTCTTTTTCGGGCCACCCTGCCTTGGTGGGAATCGGCCAGTGTGATAATAAATAATAAATAAAACAGTGGACCCCCGGTTAACGATATTTTTTCACTCCAGAAGTATGTTCAGGTGCCAGTACTGACTTGAATTTGTTCCCATAAGAAATATTGTGAAGTAGATTAGTCCATTTCAGACCCCCAAACATACACGTACAAACGCACTTACATAAATACACTTACATAATTGGTCACATTCGGAGGTAATTGTTATGCGGGGGTCCACTGTATATGGCTGAAACAGTCAAAGGGTTAATTGTTTCACAAGCAGTAATCAACTTATCTTCATTGAAGGATTTTTTTATGGAATAGAAAGAATCATTGGATTCATAAATTCTTTATAAAACTGCACCTTAAAGCAGAAATAATTGCGTTTGTAATACATCATTGCAATCTCTGTTTTCATCAGCAGCCTTGAGTGCCATGAGCAGTCTGTCTTCACCACCCAACCCATTCTTATTTTAAAATGCCAAGGGTTGAAGATTTGCCCAGTGTCGAGCTTTCCACATTGTATTTTCTTTATTTTGTCTGATTAGCTTCATTTAGATTAGGTTAGGTTACATAAACCCATAAAAATGTAGATTTAATCACAAATAATCAGATTAGAAGAACATTCCGTGATATAGCTGGTAATAAGGTGGGCAAGGAGAAATGGGAAACTTGGAATGGTTGACACGTATCACTCTTGATGCAAGAATAGGCTGCACTACCATGATATTTTACAACATACCTCACATTTTTTTATACTTTGATATATGTTTCAACTTTGCACTTTTTTTTTTCTCATTCATCAGTATGCATAGCACTTTTAGATTTACCCTCTGTAGAAGAAATAGGATTATGTAGTTACAACATTTTGTGTGATGCAGTGTGGCAAATACAATTGCCGCTTCTCTGTCTTTTACCATCAGCTATCCTCAACTTTTTCACTCACTCAATGCACTTCTTGTACTCTCACTTTTTTTACTTATCATTTACATCATCACCATTCACAATAACTGCACAGTTATATGCTGAGTAGACATTTCTCTGTTGTGGTTGATTTCCATGTAAATGGAATACTGCAATGTGTTTATACTCAGCCATTGTAACTGACCAACATTGGGCAGACAGCTTAGAATCATTACTTGCAACAGTTTCTTGCCCTCTGGCTCATAATTCATCTATAAAAATTTTGCCGGGTTTCAATTCTTCTTAAGTAAAACGTCCTCAAAGTTTAAAAGTTTGTCTACCGAGAAAATTCATTGTACACTCTCTTAAATTCCCTCCAAATAGGGACCATGATACCAGGGCTTGGCTGTAATATTGCATTGCAGTACTACAGTATTTATTTAATGCGTTGTAATTTGAAAATTTACTATTTAGTAATTAATTAATATATTAAGAGAGTTGTGAAAATTTACATTTCAGTTTTTCATGCAATATCAGTGCACATCCTGAATTTCATGCCTGATATGTATAACAGCTTACTCATTAATTTTAAAATGTTAATGTAAATGCTGTTGCTTAAACAGTATAAGTGATGATATTTTTTTTTTTTTTTTTTTCAACAAGTCGGCCGTCTCCCACCGAGGCAGGGTGACCCAAAAAAAAAGAAAGAAAATCCCCAAAAAGAAAATACTTTCATCATCATTCAACACTTTCACCACACTCACACATTATCACTGCTTTTGCAGAGGTGCTCAGAATACAACAGTTTAGAAGCATATACGTATAGAGATACACAACATATCCCTCCAAACTGCCAATATCCCAAACCCCTCCTTTAAAGTGCAGGCATTGTACTTCCCATTTCCAGGACTCAAGTCCGACTATATGAAAATAACCGGTTTCCCTGAATCCCTTCACTAAATATTACCCTGCTCACACTCCAACAGATCGTCAGGTCCCAAGTATCATTCGTCTCCATTCACTCCTATCTAACACGCTCATGCACGCTTGCTGGAAGTCCAAGCCCCTCACCCACAAAACCTCCTTTACCCCTCTTTCCAACCCTTTCGAGGACGACCCCTACCCCTCTTTCCTTCCCCTATAGATTTATATGCTTTCCATGTCATTCTACTTTGATCCATTCTCTCTAAATGACCAAACCACCTCAACAACCCCTCTTCTGCCCTCTGACTAATGCTTTTATTAACTCCACACCTTCTCCTAATTTCCACACTCCGAATTTTCTGCATAATATTTACACCACACATTGCCCTTAGACAGGACATCTCCACTGCCTCCAACCGTCTCCTCGCTGCTGCATTTACCACCCAAGCTTCACATCCATATAAGAGTGTTGGTACTACTATACTTTCATACATTCCCTTCTTTGCCTCCATTGATAACGTTTTTTGACTCCACATATACCTCAACGCACCACTCACCTTTTTTCCCTCATCAATTCTATGATTAACCTCATCCTTCATTAAATCATTTATTCCAACAATTATTTACTCTTCTTTTTCTTTCAACAAACCGGCCATATCCCACCGGGGCAGGGT